GATATTTTGCCATTTAAATTTGTCACTCTTTATTAAATGCTGGAGAAGAATTAGAGGGGCAAACTGTTAATACACTGAATATCTACCCAAATTCACTCCTTTAATGAAAATTACCAGCAATCGCTTGGAAGGATCAAAATATCTTTTGTGTCCTTGGCTGAAAAGCAAAACAGCCACTTAGCACAGAAAAGGCAGAATGAAAGTCTTCTAAAATGTCAAAGGAAAAAAATCTCTTTCATATTGGAATCACAAGTGTAGGAGCTAAACACCTCAGAAGTTCTCAGATATGCTCTATTACCACTTTGAAAGAAGCCAACTTATACATTCAGATACTAAACTATTGAACCTTCTGTAAAAATAAAAATTTTGATTCCAAATTCTATCCACAATAATTTCATCAACCAAGATAAAGGGAATGCTCAACAGAATTCTAAAAACAGAAAGAGGCTACTGAAAGTGGCAAGTTAAACTTTTTGGTTTCCTACCCCCTCCCCACCTCCTCAAGGTCCACAGGACATGAACATATTAACTTCACCTAATGATGAACAGGTTTCTGTCTGCAAATACATTCTTGTAGCTTCCTCTGCAGAAGGAAGCTCTTTATCAGTGTCTGGAACAGCAGAAACATAAATCAACTATACACACAGAGACACCCTGCAGCTGCTAGTCCAGTTTCACCTTGGAATTCACCTAGCTTTGTAAGGACTAGGTGCATTCTCAGCAAGAGCAAACAAAAATCTGTTTCATAGTTCAGGGGGGAGTAAAACAGAGAATGCAAACTTGGCCCACATCAAAGCACAAGGCAGATCTTTTCACTGACTAAATAGCAATCCCAGCAGGAGTGACAATGAAAGCTTTCTTCTCTATTATTGTTTGAAACACTCACAGGTTATTTGCTCATATTAATTAGTTTATACCTACTATTAGGCAGCCTAACTGGAAAATACTCTTTGCTCCCAAATGAATAGAGAAACAAACAAAACCAAAGGCGTTGTTTTAAATTGTCATTCTTGCCGTGGAAAAGAATTTTCAGGCCTTGCACATTTAAAAGTGAGTTTATCTTTGCAGAGGTCTCTGAATTCAGTTCTAGAGAATGCAAATCAAGTTCATGTACGCAACAATACCAGGCTAAGCTGATTGAGTGAACAGTTCATTGCCTAAGGAAATGCTGCATTTAAATACTTTTAACCATCTATGAACTTGGAGAAAATTGCTAATAGGAGAAAAAGAGACTCAGCAACAAGGCCAAGCCAGTGTCGAAGTAAAATCTGACTGTACAAATCACATGGGAAGAGTTAGCATATAATTAGGAGACAGATAATCAACCAGAAGATCATGAAACCAAATGATGCAATGGTCTTTATTATAGTTGATATCTATAATAAAAGCCTCATGTACTTATATTGGGCCCTGGGGAAGTGACTGGGTCATGGTGTGTGTTGATACCTGGGTATAATGTTGGAGGTGAAGCCTGATAGGAAGAGGTGGGCCTCTGAGGGTGTGGCCTGGAGGTTCTGTATCCTTCCTATCCTGCTGACCCCTCTCTGCTTCTGCACTGCCATGCCATGAACTGTTTCTCCTGTGCTATGCTGCCTGCCTTGGAACCAGCCAACTGTGGACTCTAAAAACTGTGTGCAAAAATAACCCTCTCCTCCTTTAACTTGTGGCTTTCGGGTCTGTTGTCTCAGTCATGAGAAAGTAACTAAGAGAGTTATTATCTTTCCTGAGGTGTAAGCCACCTTCTCCTATGACCTAAAATCCCAGTTCATAGCTGACTTCTTCCAGAAGGGTTTACTTCTCCAACTACTAGAGGTCACTACTACTACCAACATATGGTAAGAATGAGACTCAATCACCCAGTTGACATGTTAACACAGAATTTGCTCAATAGAATCCTTAAAAGCCTTCTATCTATTAAAGGGTTGATACTACACAAAGCATTTGCACCCAGAGCTAAGACTCCAAAGCCTAGATAACCACTAAACTACGCAGGCATCTTTAAGATCTAGATGAAATCCTTTATGATGGCTTACAAGGCCTTGCATAACTTTATAACCTAGCTCCTCCATGCGTACTTAGCATTTGCCTGTTTCTGTGGTACAAATAATCTACCATGATTGATCTCAAGCTACCAGCATGGAGCCAACTACACAAAAAATCTTGAAAATTTAATAATCAGCCTTTCTGAACTGCTGAAGGCAGCTCTAGGGACACAGCTCTCTACAATATCCCACATGTCCCACTATAGTGTAACCATCCTGAACTAAATTCTAACTACTATGCTCTCTTTCACCATGGGACATTCAAACCTCATATATGCCCTTTCTTCTCCCTTGCCAAAATAACTCATTCTCTCATTAGCCACTCAGTCTGGTGGTCTTCCTTGAAAAACACCTTCCCTGGTCCTCCCAGTCTTTTTCAGGGGTTCCAATCACGCTTTCTGTGTCACAGTTTTGTGATATACCACTGCAATTTTTGTGTCCTTATCTGTGTATCTTCTGTTACATTTCTAAACTCAGGGCGGACAAAAGCCTTCCTTATCCTATTTATCACAGCACTTCCTGACATAAATGGGCAACATATGCCAGACATTATTCTAAGTTTCGTACATATTTTCTCATGTCATCTTTAAAACAACCTATGAGATTGGCTTGTTTATCACCTTGCTCATTTTGCAGGGGATGAAATTAAGGCACTGAGAGCATGATCACCTTTCTCTCAGGGTCAGCCAGTAAATGCTGGAGCCAAAATTTCACAGTGTGACCTGTGGGCCATGTGCATGCTTCAAGAAACAACTGTTCGTTGACCTTTTTGTCCAGTAGGGGCCTGGCCCTCAAGGAGAAAATTTTAATTAAATTAAAATTCTCTCGAATGGAGAAATTAAATACTAAGGAATTGTTAAGTAAGCCTAAGCTTTAGCAAGGGGGTCATTTCTCAAGATCCAGTTCTGGTCCTCTTGGGAGCAAGGTCATTCTGTTGAAAGTTTATGTATTGGGCCTTTCACTATTCATTTCCATTTGTTTATCCCCCAAAACATACAGTCATAGTTTATAATTTTAATGATAACTTCCTACAAGGATTATCCTACATCTTACTTTTCTTTCCCTCCAAAAGATGTCTTAACATAATATAGCTGTCTTGATATCTTCATTTTGAGCTGTTATATGACATTACAATCATATTCACATGCCTGAATTTATTACTATGACAATGTACTATTAGATATTCAGCAAATTTTGTACTTCTTGGTCTGTAAGCAATGCTTTCGTAAGTATTTTTACACATTCTTCCTTGGCCTCATATGTGAATGCTTTTCTAATAGAGAAACCAAGATCGGAACAGACTGTGAAAGGTATATAGCTTTAATACATACTGTGAAATTATCACCTCACTCCCACGTGGCTGTACCACAGAAAATGTATATGCCTACACATTTCTCCAAGTATTTACATAAAACATGATTTGGGTGGTATTTTAACTTAAATGAGTCTTTTGAAAGCATTATAGTAGTCACCAGTTTATAGTAGCTTGCACAAGAGGAAAAGGGCACAAACTTGAGGCTCTGGGAAATGTTGACACACGACAGTGTCACTGGACACTGAAATTCCTTGTCCAGAAAACCTGTACCGGGATCTAACACACTTCACACAAGTCGAAGAAGAAGAACCTGGGAACACCTGCACTGGACGGTCAAAGGGTGGCCTCAAGCAACAGGCACTGAATCTCTTTACCTGTTTCCAAGTATTTCAGGACAATCCCCCCCTCAAGAAAAACCTATTGAAGGTTAAGGAAACCAAACACCTAAAGTAAATGAAGGGCAATGATCCATTTACAAGAAAGAGAAATACACATGATGTGGTAATGGGGATAACGCTGAGAAATAACCCTGGAAAATAATACTAAAAACACGAAAGCACTGCAAAGACTTACCCAAAGGATAAAATATGCAGGTATTTTAGAGGGAAAAGGAGAAGTTGTAGTAACTGAAATATAAATGTCCCTTTCTCCTTCCTCCCTCTCTTTTTTCACTCTTTTTATTAAAAACAGATACTTTCGAATGAAATACATAAAAAATGTAATAGTCTACAAAAATGATTTAGGAAAAAAAAAAAGCACTGGACAACGTTCTATATCATCAAAATTTGAATTTCAATCCACACAGCTTTCCCTTTTCCTTAACTTTAGCTTTAAATGATTGTCACACATGTGATGTCATGCTCAAAAGAGAAGAGGTTAAGGAACGGTAAAGGAAGAGCACATGGGAAATTATACTTTCTGAATCATTTAATCCATACAACCACTGTGTGAAGCACTAGTACATGAGAAGAAATGGAACCTGAGACCAGCTAGCACGAATAAGGCTTTTTATCAAGGACTCCAAGGTGCAGGGCCAAACTACTCCAAAGCCTGTTCCCTCCGTTGCACCACGCTGACTACTGAGCCTGAAAGAGAGCCTGAATGCCTAGCCCAAATGCAATGTGCCTGCAGTATAACGGTTCTGCAGTGCACAGAAAACATTCCTCATAGGAATTCAGAAGTTTCTAGAATTGCTTTTTGTTTTCAAGGTTCTTAGAAAAGATCAAGGCAAACTAATTATAAGAGGAGGACAACACAGCAGGATTGGAAACCTTGTTATAAGATTAGGTCCTTTCTGAGATATTTCATTAAACATCCCATCCCCCAAAAAAAGTCTAAGAAAGAGAAACCAGAAAAATTTGCTACTGATTTGTCTTGATTTGGAGTTTGCTGTATCCTAAGTGCTCAAAACTGAGATCCCTTGGAAACAGAGGCCAGTTCACTAAAATCACTTGTTCATTGTTCCAGCTGCTTCCTGAACTAAATGGTACCTCGCTCAGAAAAGCACCATTATCTCAAACACACCAAATGCTAATCTGAGAGATGTACATGGTCCCTAGAAAAAAAGCATACTTTCTGCAGTTCAACTGAAATATTTGACAAAACTATGATTCCCCCGAACCTTTGCTAGTTGAATCGTTTACCTGGGGCTGGGAAATGGCGGGGGTCGCAGTAGAGGCAGCAGCCATAACAGCTCTATAGTGGTGGGCAGTGATCAAGCTCCAGCACCACAGTGCCAGACACGGAGCCTGTTCTCGCAGCTGCCGATCAGATCACAGTCATGCTAGAAGTAGCTGTACACCTGGAAAAAGAAAGGAATACCATAGTTAGTGCAAGAGGACCAGCATATAAGAATGAAGGACCATTGGCCAGAGGAAGCAAAAATCTCTTATACCAACTGCAAAATATTAGCTTAATGGAAACAAAAATTCATAGGAAAGATCTAATATCTAAAAGTTATGGCTTCTATATTATTCACCCAAAGGATGGTAAGTAGGTATATTTTTGTAAGTTTCAATTCTATGCTGGGTGCCAGCTAAATGTTCTAGAGAGGCAGTTTCAAGTGGGGTAAAAAGGGAAGGTGAATGGGATGAGAAGCCATCTTCTCATTAAATAATAAGAGAAGAAAAAAATGAATGATCTATATCGAACAGAGTTTGAGGCAGATTTTTAACTCACTTCATGAGACACCTGAGGGTTTGAAAGATTAGACATCTCCACAGCCAGAAAGAGAGAGAAATGAGACTTGAACCTGGACTGATTCCAGGGGCCTGTCTCCTTCTCTCCAAGAGAAAAGACATAAAAAGAGCATGGAATGTTTTTAAGCAAAAATTTCAGGTGGTCCTAAAGACAGCAAAGTGCAAGTCAGATGGCCTGCAGTGACCCTGTGACAGAGAACCCCAAGCCGCCCTCATTCAGTATAAAACTTAAATAATGTGCCTTTTGCTTTGATATATGTTTCATATCCTTGAGATGCCTAATAAAGGCAGATTTTTCAATTTTATATTTTTGGGAGGAAAGATAAGACAGAAAACTGCTTTACACTAAAGCATTTGCTTTACCAGAGCTCCAGATGGTCAACTGCATTGTTGCCCAGGAACTTTGAAAGAAAGGCATACTTCTTCGAACTCTTTCAAGTACTTGATATCTTTCCTGCAATTCTTCCAAATTGCCATCAACCTAATGCTACATTTCCTTTGCCTGAACTCCAAAACTTTTCCAGCCACAGAAAACCAAAGCAGTGTGGGTTTACCCTATTGGCATCAGGTTCTCCAGCTGCCTTTGGGACATGATTATTGTCCCTTCTTTTCTTCCTTTTCATTTTCCTCAGCATCTCCTTTTCTCGACAGCATCTTTGCAAACCATCAAACTACCTCTAATGCTTGTCATTCTCGTGAGTTTTGCATCTATTTATTCACTGAACTTTTCATGCATTCCCCTACAGTCACCAGGCTAAATTATCCCATTATTCCCTCCCCCATAGTTCAAATCACATATACAAAACACAGACATAAAAATTCATAAAGCTAGAAAGTAGAAAATGGGTTACCAGGGGCCGGGAGGAGGAAGTAATGGGGTGTTCGTGTTTCAGAATAGTAGAGGTTCATCTTGGACTGATGAAAAAGTTCTGGAGATGAATACTGGTGATGGTTGTACAACATTGCAAGTATAGTTAGTATTGCTGAATTGTATACTTAAAATGACTAAAACAGTACCTCTCATGTTGTGTATATTTTACCACAAAAATAGTTACAAGGGTCATGAAAATAAGGAATGATATGAAAGCTATTAAAAAGTCATGTAAAATTATGTCTAAGCTATCCTTAAAATAACAAAAAAATGTATACAAACAAAAATGGATGAGGAAGAATCATACTTAAAAGTACACTTTCAGAGGGGTTGAAGATGTAGGGTAGAGCATTTGCCCCACTTGTGGAGGTCCACTGGGTTCAAATCTCAGCACCACAGGCCAAAAAAAGTGCAATTTTAGAAAAAAGTACAATTACCAAAAAATAAAGCTATATGGGTTTTTTCCACTGTCTCAGATTACTGGAGAAATGACCACTTTGGTTTCAAAATAGGACATATCCTGAATCAGCATTAGAAACTACAGATTGATCCTACTATTGCTAAATATCCAGAAGTATGTACTGGAAAAAAATCAGGATGGGAGGTTAAGAAAGGGACTAAAGTACAATGCTCTGTTCATATGATACTGCAACTACACGCACAGAAGATAAGCAAATGACCCCTTGGAATAACACCCTCATTTCAAAGGGATGAGGGCTAGAGGGAACTAAGCCAGGGGAGAGATGAGTAACTTCAAAATAGGATAACTACTTTAAGGGGCAAAAGTAAATTGAGTAAGTAATCACTGGGTGCATTTACCAATGATTTATAGATGGCTGATTTATAGAAAGCTTCAGCAAACATAAAAGAAAAGAATGCTACTAGCTGGCTTCTCAGGAGTGCAGCCATGCAAAGTGACAATAACTTTGCTAATTACTGAGAGCCAAACTAAATACCTAAAATAAAGTCTAGTTTGAGGCAAACTTTCATTTGATTACTTCTGAAGTAGATGCTGGTTCCCTCCCCAGCCCTCACAGAAAGATAAATTTCTAATTAGAAAATGAATCTACTGCAAATTTAAGCCTTTTTCTTATTTCATTCTTCTGGACTTCAGCCAAGCAGTGACTCATGTATGTTTCCGAAAAAACACAGGGCAATACCTGACAATGAATAGGCAAAGGATTCCATCTCAAAATAAGTAAGAAAGAAAAATCCAAGTCTACCAGACCAATGAAATATATTTCTACAGTTCAAAATAAGAGAAGACCTGAGAATCAGAGCAAATATTTACTTAAGAAATAAGTACATGACTTATTAGAGAAAACTTCAGAAAATTTCTAGTTCACCTTCATAAAATCACTGAGGACACAGCAGCCTCTTTAAATGTAGGGTAGGCAGGCATGAAAAGAATTACATGACATCAGAAAAGAGTTTTCATTAACCAGAGAAAGAGAAGATCTGCATTTCAAAAATGAAGGCAGACATCACCCAGGAGAGGGCGATTGGCTGGTAGCCATCTTGGATAGGGGCCAGCTGAGCCTGGAATTCAGAACAGCTGCCCGCAGACTCCATCTAGTGGCTTCTGGTGCCTCAATATGGGTGCTGAGTTCAAATCAACAGGAGGCCAGGGAGCTGAGTTCAAGCCAGCAGGAGACACATAGACTGTTGTAGGCTCAAAAAATCTGGTTCCAGCCTCATAGCCAGAAACTGGCCTGAACTTTAGAGGAACTAAAGGGTGGGATTATCCACTATCCCACTGTGAAGCTGCAGCTAGCTTGCTGGGATTAATCAATTTGGCTCTGGACTCTATTCTCCCACATTGCTTAACAGTGACAGCAGAGACACAACTTGAATTGGACATTTTAGGGGGTTTTTTTTCTTCCCCTTTTTTTTCTTTTTTCTTTCTGCTTTTCCTCTTTTCTTGATTCTTTGAACACAGTTTCTAGTTTTTATGTTGTTTTTCTGTTCTGTTCTTGTTTTTATTTTTTCCTTTTCTCTTTCCCACCTTTTTCAACAGTTCCTAAAGTTTGTCCTCCAGCCTTGCTTCTGACCTCTTCCTCTTTTTCTATTTCTGTTTTTTTTTAATCCCCTAGCCCCTTTTAAGTCTTCTTCCCTAAGGGTGAAAAAATCATATTAAAGGCTATAATTTGTCATTTTCTAGGCTGTATTTGATGCTATTGTCATTGTTGACTGTACTACTTTAGCCTAGGTAAGATAATTGTGCTAACCAGCTGTTCCTCCTGGTATACCAAGACTGAAATTGCCTAAGGGTCGTAAAAAAAACCTACAAGCCAGTGCCAAAGAACTGGTAGCTAACCCAAGTAGACAGAAACTTCTCATCCCCAATAAACTGAAGAGGTAGGACCCTGCAACAGACTCAAAACTCAAAAGCTAGCTATACCTGGAAGACACTTCTGAAAAGTAGTCATTTCTAGGGGGGTCTGGAAACTCGCAATAAAGCTACTCACCATAAGCAACTTGGAAGCATCAACTCAGAAATCAAAGTTAAAAAAATAAAAAATGAGAAGTCACTTACACAAGTTGCAACCCCTGAAGACTTTCAGCTCACCAAAAGAAAACCCTGGGGGCAATGTCATAGGTGAAACAATCCAAAGCCACCTGGACTCTCTGAAGTGGTAACAGCAGAAGTAACAAAGCAAATGACCAAGGCTCTAGAAAAAAAATCAAAGCAGAAATAATTTCCCAGTTAACTACAGACATGGTGACCAGAATGATAGATACAGTTAAAAAATACAGGAGCTCAGGAACATGATGGAAGCCATAAATGCCCAGCACAGGAAAGAAATGGAATCCATGAAACATATTCAAACAGATATCCAAGCATTTAAAAACTCCACTGAAACTATACACACAAAATGAGCCAATGCAAGGAAAAAATATCAGATATAGAAGATAGGATTGTAGTTAGCCAATCAGTAAAAGAGAGAATTCTTAAAAATAGCAAGGGATCATGAGAAATCAATCCAGCAACTGCTACATGACACAAAAGAAGAATAACATAAGATTGATTTCAGTCAGTGAAAAAGCAGGAGATAGTGCAAATGACATTTTTTAATGTCATTTAATGTAATGTAATGGTAGAAAAATTCCCAAACAGAGAAAAAAAAATTGATAGACTTCCATGAAAAAGAATACCTGAAGAAATTCCAAGCTCAGCACTCCAAAGTGTTCTGAAGAATATTCTAGAAGGAGACAATAAAGATTACAACTCCATGAACCCCAACAGATGACAGGCAAGGCAAGAAATTAAACAGAAAAGGAAAGAAGGAAGCCAACAGCAGGAAAATAACATGGCAGAGATTAGACAATACATATCAGTTATAACCATCAATGGTAAAACTCTAAATTCACCAATCAAAAGAAATAGACTGGCAAAATGGATCAAGAAGAAAGATCCAACAATATGCTGCATACAAGAAACACATTCAATTGAAAAACAAATTCACAGACTGAAAGTCAAGGGATGGAAAACAATATTCCTTGCAACAGGAAACTGGAAAAAAGCAAGGTAGCTATTCTCTTTGCAGACAAGAGCTGATTAAGAGAGACAAAGAAGTCACTATATCCTGGTAAAGGGAACAATCTAAGAGAAAGAGATAACAATCCTAAATATATATACACTAAATGGCAGCACACCCAAATGTATAAAACAAATATTAATGGACATGAAAAATCATATGAGCACTAATACAGATGTAATGGGAGAATCTC